TGTGTGTGTGTGTGTCTGTCTGTGTGTGTGTGTGTGTCCGTGTGTGTGTATGTCTGTGTGTGTCTGTGTGTGTGTCTCTGTGTGTGTGTGTGTGTGTGTCTGTGTGTGTGTGTGTCTGTCTGTGTGTATGTCTGTGGGTGTGTCTGTGTGTGTGTGTGTGTCTGTGTGTGTGTGTGTGTCTGTGTGTGTGTCTGTGTGTGTCTGTGTGTGTCTGTGTGTGTGTGTGTCTGTGTGTGTGTCTCTCTCTCTCTCTCGCTCTCTCTCTGTGTCTCTGTCTGTGCGTGTGGGTGTGGGTGGGTGTGAGTGTGTGTGGGTAGGTGTGTGTGGGTGGGGGTGGAGGTGGGTTGGGGTGGGTGGGGGGGAGGCTCAACGAACAGCTGTCTAAGCATTGTTGAAGGTACTCTTGGTCCACAATCCAGCAGAGAACGATGCGAGGACGATTCAAGAACAGCAAGAAAAAGCGGAACATGAAGAGAAACGCAATGCGTGGCTCTGACATGTCCGAACCACACACCTCGTGGTCACCTAGACGCTAAACCGCAGTCCTTGGGATGGAAACAGACCTCATTCACGCTACCGGTGTGCCCGGGCAGCCTGTCTTGCCAGAAAGGCATTTTTTGTTGCCGGGGGTGGTCAGGGTTTGGGAGAACCTGAAATCTGGTTCAACGGCTTGGCTTCTTCCTACCCTGACAGGGGATGCAAAGAGAGGCAACACATAGCCACTGCATGCACTCTGCCTTCAGGATTTCTAGTCATGGGCTTCATCTAGAGTCTAGAGTGTCCTCTGTTGTCTAGGAAGTTCTCCGTCTTCCAAAAGGACGGAAACTAATTTTCGGGTGGAAACATAGAAACGAAGACCTTGAGGGGTCGCGCAATTTCTCTGGCTTCTTTTGGGAATCATGAAATCATACTACCCATGCTACCTAAGCTCGGATCGCGAATCCGATGAAATCGACGTTTTGCAAACCAGCCACTTGGATGGCAAAGGCGTGCTCTTGCCTGGTGAACTATTGCTGCAATGCCCACACAGAAACAAAGATACGACCGGTTGACGATTCAGGGCTCGGATTGTAATGCTCAGGGCTTAGAGGTTGAGGGCAACACAACCAAGTCAATCCAAAAGCCCACCCACCCACCCACCGCCGAACCCGAAGGACATTCGTGCAGAAACCCCCGGAAGCCACCGCACCCATAGCTCTCGATCTCCCGGGCCTGTACGCCAGCTGCAGCATCTTCATGTCCCAGATGTTCACCTGGCAAGATGGTCAGGTTCCTGACCAACCACATCACAGAACGCATCTCTAAATCACGCAGCTCCCTTTGGCTCGTCCTAGACCCGAACCGCTGACTGAAGACAATTTCCTATTCGTTCAACCTTAAACCCTGAACCTCAAAGCAAACACGCTCGAAACCCTGAACCCAACACCAAGCCCTCAACAAGAGGCCCTTCAGAGGAGTGGCGTTCTGGCACGCAGAGCCGGCGGCCAGGAGCGCATCCTTCTCGGACCATCGCACCTTGGGGGCGGCCCTCAACAAATGAAGCGCAGGCGTGGAAGGGGGGGGGGGGTCAGGGCATAGAGCCTAAGGGCCTAAATGCATTCGGCATTTTATCGTTTCTGGGCTCTCGCATCTCCAGCGAAGGACCGGTGTCTCGGGCGCTCCAGGGAGTGGGGTTGAGCTCGTTACGGTTTAGGGTTCATGCCAACTCCGAGGGCTGGCACTTCAGGCTTGAAGGCTAAGGCCAGGGCTTTCTCTACAGGGCCTAAGTTGCACGCATGGGCGGAAGATTGGGCGCCAAGGGCGACTGGTGGCTGTCGGCTGGGTAGATTCGGATCCGAACTTGCACTTTGGCAAGTATATCGTTTCCAAGTGCTTCCTCAGCTTCGCAAGCCAAGATGCATCCCCGGAACAGCTGAATCCTAGAAAAGAAGCCAAGACAGTGCAGATTGGATAAATGTTTGGAGGTCCTACTGCAATACAAGTGTAGGGATCATGCAAGAACGATAGGGAGATCTGAAAACAAAGGATCTTCGCTTCGCGGGCCCTCATGCACGCAAACTCCCATATATATCATATAACCCTTTTGCGAGGACCCCCGTTATAAGACCAGCCCTTACGCGGGCCGGACCTCGTCGACAGACGGCTTTACGGGATTACACCTTGCTGTCGGGCTGACACGTAGATATAAAAGCAACGTCTTTGTTCTGGTTGGGCAAGCCGGGCCCTGTCTGAAACGTTAGGCTCCTGAGACGCTGGCTCGAAGGAGGTTCTTCTCGAAGTTGTGCGTCGCACCTGCGACGGCTCCAAATTGAGTCCTCCGGTTCCGGGCCATTAGCCATAATCCTGAAAAGCCCTAACCTGTTCAGGCTTTTGGGTTAGCCGTCTCTCGGAAGTGCAGCGAAGCGTTCCTTCAAGGAACTCCCTGCTCTTGTTGGACACTAGTGCAAACCCCTCATATCTCTGATGATGAGGATCCCTCTTGGAGTCAGTAACATATCAATCAGGCGTCCACATGAGGGTTAAGATTTGGGGCTCCAGATAGAAACTTTCGAATCTGCCTGCCCTAATAGATCTATCTGGCTCAAGGACCAGCCGGCTCGGCCTCGCAGAATTCGGAGGCATCTGTTCCTGCACCAGGCTTTTGGGGTCTGAGGCTTTGGTGTTTCGGGCTTTCGGGGTCGCGGCTGCGGGCATTCAGGGTTTGCACTTTCGGGACAAGCTGTTCGAGCACAGATGCACGCCGTTTTAGGAGCTTTGGGCTCCTTCACTGTGGCGCTGTAGGCTAGCGAGTGGCTATGAAAAGTAGTTGGGTCGAGAGGTGTTTGGGTTGCGAGCTGGGCTTGATGATGGGACTACTTGATACTGGTTGGCCTTGGGATAGAGTTTCGGGGCTTGGGGCTTCCCACTGAGTCTTGGGCCCGAGGACTATCCTACACTGTCCTACACATTGAACCCTGAGCCTGCAAGGCAAGCTCAATCGCCCAACACCACAGAATCACGGAGCAACACCTCTCACCAAGTTCGTCGCGCCCTGCCTAGTGCCGGCGAAGGGCCGCACATCCCAGATGCGCACCTTGGGGGGCAAAGGGCTGGGCTGGATGAAGTTGGAGTTCCGGATTCTGGGGTTTAGGGCTTCGGATGTCGTTCAGGACTCAGGATGTGCGGTGTTTCGTACTCATCAATGAGGGTCTGGTCTAGGATTTGTAGCTGTAGGCTTAAGGTGTTTCCAGACGCAGGGCGTTAAGATAAAGGTAGGAGTCCTCTAAACTAAACTCTAGACCCCGAACAGCATCCTGAACCCTAAACCGCCTCTGCAAACCCGGCCACAAAAACCCTGTCACAGAAAGCTTGGTGGGGGATTCACGGTCCTCTGCTCGGCTGGGGCCCATGCGTTATCATGTGATGTGGTCATCATCATCGTCAAGACCATTGCCAAAAGAATACAAATGCACAAGCTTTGCCTCAGGAACCCTGCAAATAAATACGAGTACAAGCACTAATCCATGCAGCAGTGGTAACCGCAACACCAATTGCAATACAGCCACAGCACTAGCTGGTAAAGACGAAAGTTATCACGACAGAAGACACTCATATACATAGGTATATACAGACATGTGTAACCAAATCTTGAAAACATGCGGATAGGTATAAACACATACATACATACATACATACATACATACATACATACATACATACATGCACAGACA